ATATGTATATGTATATGTATATGTATATGTATATGTATATGTATATGTGGTGTGGTCATATTTACAGATTCAAAAACGTAGCATCTGTATGAGAGGGACACCCGGGTGCCTCAGTCAATGCAGTGGCGGGGTGGTTCCAGTTGGCTTCACTCGACTTGAGCCCAGAGAGAGAGACGATTTGGGCTTTTGCCTCAGCCCTGTATTGGCACTAAACACCGCACTTTGTGAGAAGATTGCAGGCAACAAAAATGTCCACGGTAGTTCCAGGTTCACGAATAGTAGAGTTTTCGGGCCAAGGCGCTGGGGCCTGATTCTATGGTACCCTCATGTGCACTAAATTCTAGTATACAGCCGGTTTTGGCATAGTGCAACCGCGATATAGACCTTCAACCTTCATGTCGACGAGAACTATGCTTTTAAATTCCAGCATCCCGCGGCTAGAAAGAAACAGACACAGCATTAATGAACTTCGTGTATGTGATGGATGTATGGATGTTGGAGCCTTCGGGTAGGTTTCTGGCTTTTTGTTTGTTTTCGCGCTTGGCTCTGAAACCTAAACCGGAAACCGGAAACCCCAAAACCCTCCCCCCTTCCCACAGGAAGCCCACAACACAACCCTCGAGCTCTCCCGGTTCCTTGGCCTGTACATATAAGTTTGTGGCTGTGGGTTGGGCTTTAGGGATGATTATTTCGGGATTGGGGTATGAGTTATAAGGCCTTATCAGCGTTTAATACTTATAGGCTTTGGGTGCAGGGTTTGGGAAGGATGGTTGAGGGTCAGGATGATTGTCGAACTTGGTCTTGACAGTTTTGCGAGAGCCAGAAGATTGAAAAGGACCGCAGTGCATTGGAGCGTTAAGCCTTAGACCCGGACCCTGGCCCTTTAACCCCTTATCGAAGGCTAGGTGAACCCCAAAAGCCCGATTTACGCCCCAGACCCTAAAGAAGGGCTTTCGGAGCTGGTCTGCAGTTACGAAAAGGGGCTTTCAAAAAAAAAGAGGCAAGTTCCTGAACCCAGAGCACTCAGCGGGATCATCTTCTGATGCTTTTGGGATCGGCCCCAGAGCTGCTGATCTATAGGACCCAGAGTAGGCCCTTATTCCCTTTTTAAGGGTTTAGGTTCCCTTATAACCCCCTTTAAACCAAAAAGGGCACCCTTTTTCTTTCTAGGTTACTCTTGGGTCTAGTGATACACCTCTTGATTCCGGGTGACATAGAAGCCTGACGAATTTCATAAACTCCCCCGTGTTCTCGAATATACCCCGCAACTAGGCCTCTGGATTGCACAGCTGAGCGCTTAAAGCCAGGTATTTATCCGGTTCTTTCAAGTTTTTCAGATTTTCAGTTGTTCCAAGGGTTTTTGAGGCGTTCGTGCAGTTGTACTGTACAGGTTTGGACAGGGTTTGATAGTATACGAATCCTCGAACCATAATCCATAAGACCCTCGAACCCAAGCCATTATTAGTTTGCTCTGTAGGGAGCCCATAGTTTTGCATGTGGGGTCTACGTATCATAAAAAACTCATGAGCGCAAAGGGTCCAAAGGACTCAAGAATTAATTAGGTACTGGGGTTTAGGATAGTAATCATGCAGGTTACTGAGACCGTTCTGGAGAGTATATGATAATTTGGTACTGGGGCCCTTCTGGTGAACCTTAAATTTCCTTAAACCCTAAACCCTGAATCTTTGATTCCAGGATAGCTTTCAGTCCTTGCCTCTGCCAGGACTGAGCTCTCGAAGTTCTACAAGGACATCCGAAGAGCTGGTACGCAGCAACTTCGTATGCTTAGGGTTTAGGGTTTTGGAACTTAGTTAGGGTTTGCCGGGTCCTAATGTTAGAGGTGATGGTCAGTTGCATGAGAAACTGATGTCCACGTTCCCAGGTGGCCAGTGTCACTTGCTATTCACCCCCCGTTGGATGCGCGGACATGGCAAGTTTTGGAGAACTGTGCTGGAGGCATTGACTGGGGCACTTCCAAGGTTTGGCCACAGGCAAACACGAATCTTGACGTGACCAACTGCGCATAACTGCGCGAAAGCCATTGTTGCGGCAGGAAGGATGTCACGATAGGAGTGAAAAGACCACGCACATGGCATGTCAGGAAGCGATCCGCATGTATATAAGCCCAGGCCTCTGACGGATCCTACACATGTACTTGAGGTCGCAACCATAGTCATAGCTCTGAAGTGCTGTTGCAATCAAGTTTTTGCCACTGTGCAGCAGAGCCCGCCAAATTGACAAAACAAGCAGAAAGCCTCCGTTCCCGCTGTTCCTGGGGCTAAGTGTGTCCGTGGCGGATTGTAGAATAACAGTTCTGAGCCGACCCCCCCCCCCCCCCCCACTCCTGAAGTTTCTTGTGGATCACCGTTGTTTAGGGTCTAAGACTTGAAGAGAGCGGAATCACAGAGCATGTTGGCTGTGGTTCGCTGCTCGAAGCACGCCCTTCACCCTTCACGCCCTCGAAATCCTGGAGCGCCGAGACCGAAAGCCCGAAGCCCTGAGACAAAGCCGAAACCCTGAGCCGAAGTCCGAAGGCCCTAAGCCCTGAACCGAAAACCCGAAGACGCGAAGGACGTGGGCATGCCCCTTCCTGGAGCAGCCGGGGCGGCTGCTGGGGGCATGCCAGGTGGAGAAAAGTAAAAATGACGATGAGAACGAGTAGGGGTAGCAGTAGGAGTAGCAAACAAAATACAAAGAACTACTACTACTACTACTACTACTACTACTACTACTACTACTACTACTACTACTACTACTACTGCTACTACTATGTACTGCTAACTGCTAACTGCTATCATGCCACCGGCAATAGCATCTAGAACAGCAATACAGCATCATGTTGAAACAATAACCGGAAATGCAATAATCACGCTTTGCTCATATATCAATAGTACTTAGGTGTGGTTATGATGTTGTAGCAATTTGGGAATCTTGACAGTGGTGTGAAATATCGTAGTTCTCATGATCGCAGCAGCAATGGTCGCGACAACTTCCTTGACTGTTGTAAAGGAAAGTGAGTCATAAGATGGCTTCAAGCGTAAATCGGAATGCCAATCATACCGTGATGTACATGTGTAATAATACTAGCACCGTGCCACGATGTTGCATACCAGTGCTAGGAATGCAATCGTAACAAGACCCCACATCATGCACACACACACACACACACAACAAACACTAACAAGAAGAAGCACAGAGCTGTCCGTACTGTATTGTATACATAGGGGTCTGGGTTTACGGCTTTGTGTTTGCGAATTCTTGAGGCCGTGCAAACTCCAGATTTGAAGTGCTTCAGGGATTTGGAGATCGCGAGAAATTGAATGTGCCGCAACCCTCGGTGCACGTCAGGTCTAACCCACTGTACATCGTGATCGCATAGCGGCTTCCGTTTTCTTTGCCACCCCTTCTTGCTCCTCCCTCAAAAGAGCTGCCGAGGCTGCAAAATGAAAGTGCTATCCTGTCAAAGAACGAGGAAACCTAGGGAAGGTTTTCCTGTGGTGGGAAGGCCCCATCTTGCGACATCATGCACGAGTTTGACCCAGATTTTTCAACGATCCACACCCTCGCAGGAACAGAGGGGTTTGAATAATCCGTCCCTAGTCTGCAATTTACGGCCCCTATAGTACCCGCGTGTGTGTGTGCAGGCATGCCGGCCGCTCCGGCACCGCCACCGGCCCCGCCGTTGGATTTCGACCCCGCCGGTGGCCCGCAAGCATTGCAGTGGAAGATCCTCCGGTAGTTACCCATAGGCTCCATACTAATTCCTTTTTGGGGTTCATATCTAGAATCCCGTCAGGTAATCCCAAAAAGGAACCACTATGGAGCCTTAGGGTATGAACAGCTTCAGGCCAGTTGCTGCCTGAAAGCTGCATGACACACTTAGAGTTTTGTTTGAACTCCATGACTGCTGTTCAAGGAAATATATTCCATATTGGGCCCCCTGTGTTTAGTCTCGTTGCCAGTCTTGCTGCTTGCACTTATGTGGGTGTATACCTATATCCGTGCATATGTACATATATAGAGGAGATAAATAGTTATGGGTAGACATATATATATATATATATGTGTGTGATCACTTCCTGCAACCTTCCCCTTGTGATGTATGCCCAGGCGCATGTTGGGAAACCAGTCATCAGTTATGCAACGTATCAAACACAGACATGTATATGTGTATGTCAGTTTTTTAGTATCAGCTTCTAGATAACATTGTTATCACCATTGCACGCTTTTTAATATGTGTATATATATCTATGTACACATGCACAAGCACGCAAACGAAAAAACACATCAATACATATTTATACATGTATACTTTCATACATCGTCAATTAAATTTACATATAAATAAATACCTATATATATATGTTCATGCAGAATGTCTTGTAGACCTAGGCGCAATATTCGAATACTTGCGGTGACTCTCAACACTGTGGTTGTACGATCATGTTATTCTTCTGGTCGCCGGTTCCTGCATGCATCGCTGTTACTGTCGATATGCTCCTTTACTCTGCCAGCTGTGTTTTGAGAAGTTTGATATTCGCTTCAAGGAGTGGTTCTGCCCTAAACCCTAAACCCTGCCTCGCCTGGATTGTCCGAGTGTGAGCGCCGAAAACCGCAACATGCAGATATGTTGATTGCATCCACTATCAGCCTTCTGAGTGTCTGATCTATAGCTGAACTGCTTATTACCAATCCTGTTCTGACATGACTCCTCTTGGTACTGTTTGTGGTTTGCAATTCCAAGGCGTATACGCACAGACTTGCAACAAGCAAAAGTTTCTATTGTCTGGACCATGAAATGTCCGCAACTAGCAAGGCTAACAGTCCTAACAAGTCCAGAGCTCTAGTCTAAACAGCCGAAACGTCAGCCACAGGCCCTGAACCCTTAGACGTAGTGTTGTTTACCATGACGAGCGTGGCTTTTCCGCCTTCATCTGCTGCTATTCAGTTGGGAAGCCCTGGGCTGGGCGACAAGTTCGAACAGGGAGAGACAAGGAGTGCCAATGTCCCAGGGTTTAGGGTTTAGGGTTGTTTAGGGTTTAGGGTTTAGTTTAGGAGGCCAATGTCCTATCCGAGCTTCCGAATCTGAGCCCCAGGTCTGGGGACGAAGCTGGTCGACTGAGAGAGGAGACTCAGATGTTGAAGCAAAGTGTTCTGCTTGCTGTTGCTTCTAATCTTTTGACTTGCCTGCTATCGCCCGCTAGTAAGACGACGACGAGGCACTTCGATCTGCAAGATGGTCCGTCGGGCTGATATGTGTTACAAGTATCCTGCGGACTTTACAGGGAAGTGATGGTGCTGGTGATGGTGAAGTGGATGATGACACTACTTCTAGGACTAGTATGTCACACTGTTTGAGTGCCCCGTATACTGCTGCTGTCAAAGTCATCAGCACTGCGGCTAGGTAGATGATTACGTCATGGGGTATTGAACAAGAGGAAGAGGATGTTGGTAGCGCCATCAGCACTATCCCTATCTCTCCGGATTGAGCTGCCTTTGCTATGCCTATGCCTATGCTTTATGTTCGTCATGTGCGTGATCCGTTTAGAGATCATCTCGACGACTTTATCGTAGAAGTCGGGCTCCGGGATGCAGGAACTACCCGCGACTCCGGCAAGGAGTTTTAGGGCCCGGGCTGACGTGTTTGAGGCTTCAGGCTTGCGTCTGCAACGTCTTCGGGCAAAAATGGAGCAGTTCATAAACCCTAGCACCTTTCTTACCTAGACTCATGGGTCTCTACACGCCTTTGACTCCGTGGTACAGAACTTCCCCGTTTTCCCTTTGTATATGGGTAAATCTCAAAATCAGGTGAGAGATGCGGTGTATCACCGCCGGTCTCATGCCGTAAACACAGTTTCGTTGATGCTTTGCTGTTTGAGCTGCATATACTAGCATACGCCAGGATTCAAGTTTCCATGGCTACACAAGTTGACCACACCTCATCGCAAGCCGAGTCGATCTACCTGTGAACGCTAGTGGCCGTAGTGTTGCTCTGAGCGGAAGGGTGAAGCACCTACTTGCTTGTATCGGTAAACACCACGCATACTCGTTCAAATTCACAGCGAAGCATGTGCAGCCAACATCTGCATCGAATCATTGCCTACATGCACACATGCATCATCCCATCAATGTGTCCGGCATCCCAGGCCCTAGAATCTAGACATCAGGAACGCTGGAGGCCCGAAGCCCTTATTGCCAGGCATCGATGTTTTGCCCGTGCAAAGGAATAAAAAGAGCTCTGCAAGGGGGGCCGGCGTCATCATGAATGTGTGTGAAATCCAGTAGGCTACCTCGAAGGGGACTTTGTTGCCAGTACTGCGACTTGTGTGTTACAAGACAGACTGCTGTTGGGGCTTTCGATTCAAAGCCCATTTCCTTTTTTAGCATTTTTCCTAGAAGCCCTGTCCATGGTAGCAACGAAAGTAGCAAAAAACGGTTGGGAGCAGGACAACAAAAAATGGCAGGAGGTGAACCCTAAACACCAAGCCCAGCAAGAAACTCTGAAGAAGCAGCCATCTACCTATAGTCTCCATTGTAGTTCTTTTGTGTGGTTAACCAGTTTTATGGTTGGGATCCTATAACGGGGTTCTTGGTTAACCAACAGACGAACTACAATGGAGACTAGAGGTAAAGCTACAAGTTGTCATGCACTCAAAGAACAACAGCCAAGCCACAACACAACCTTATACAATCCCCAGGTGTACTAAGCAAAGCTCAAGCCAGCCAGACGAACAGGATTCCTCAATATAACAAGCCCTATGAGTTTCCGAAAATTAGGGTACCGTATTTTGTGCTCCTTATAATGAGGATTCTACTATTTCGGGTACTATACCAGGGTCCCCAGTTTTCGAAAACTCCCATACAGATCCTTAGGACAAGGAAGTAGTAGACTCTAAGAGCCAACAGCAAGCTAAGAAGTAATCGACCCCATGTGCACAAAAAAAATTATGAGCCAAGTGAGCTTTTCTGACTCCTTCATTGCCAGGCCGTCGTCTCCGAAAACAATTCCACCGTCTTGGTCGAAATCTCAGGGTAAACAGTTGATGTATCGGCTGAGGGTCTGCTGGCTATGGTCATTCTCCAGGGTTCCTTATTGGAAGCGTACTTTAATATACCAAAAACCCTACTCTAATCATAAGTTATCCTTTGACCTGGAAATGTTGCGGCTGAGAGGGTGAGGAGCCTCCGGCTGTCGTTATCGAGCACAACTAGATTGAGCAGGTGTGCATGGTCAGATTACCTTCAGGTTCCATCCGTGACAGCGTCATTAAATCCATTGGGCCCAACCCAGAGACTCCAATGTCCCTTAATTAAGGAGTATACCTTAAATTATATTAAGGATCCTACGAAAATTTAAGGTATGTTCCTGAAATAAGGGACATTGGAGTCTCTGGGAACAGTATCGGAAAGTGCTCCTGACCATGCTTCCGCCCCACGACCACGGCCTTGAATCTCAAACACGAAAGCTCCAGGCACTGAATAAAACGCCTTGGACCTGGCATCCCGAGTCGAAGGATACAGAAGATGGAAGCGCATTGACAAGGGAGTTTCCCAAAATTAGCTTATAATAAGGATCCTACTAATTTAGGGTACTGTATTGGGTCCCCTATTTTCGGAAACTCCCACAACTCCCAGTGTCA